ACTCGAGAGAAAAAAATCGTAAGTTATTGCACGAAATACGATCATATTCCTTACGTTTTTTCCTTTCGAAAGCCATACCTGTCGTCATTGAAAAAAAATTTCTGGACGCCATACGGTCCCTTTAATATTGCTCTTCTTCGAACGCGAGAAATCTGCAAGCTGATAAATATCTTTCTTATTAATTGTCCTGTGCACTTTTCGTTATCTACAATTTTTTTTATTTCATGTTGTTTGTGATATTAATTCTTTGATATGACAAAAAATTTCGAAATTGAAAATTGTGAAACCTCCATTATCCCCTCTTGGTGCATATTCTACTTTTATTAAATTTCTGTAAGTTCATAATTTATTTTTCAATTCAACGGGCGTAAAATACAAATGTTATCGGCTACAAATTATCGTTTATAACTCATAAGGTGGTCATTTTAATCGCAAAACTATAAGGAATGTGAAATTCAATGGTTCATGATTTTAAAATGCATTCTAACAGAGCTACTGTAATTTTATTGAGAGATTTTAGGCCCTTCTCATTTTTTGGGTAAAAAATTATTGAAGTTCAAAGTGGAATAACTCGGCCGGAAATTGATCGATTTTGTTCCGCCTAGGCTCATTTCACGTGGAAAACATTCAAGAAAAGATATCTTACTTGCTGGATTTTTAGACTGACTGCTGTGGAAATGCCCGAAGAAATACTAAAAAAATGTTTTTTCCCATAAGATTTACGGGTTAATTTTCAACATCGATGAGCCTCCACTTAGAATCATCGTAGGAACTTTTTATTAGCGCTAAAATTTTTGTTATTTTTTACTAAAAAGTTAGAGGGGGGGTCCCGTACAAATTTCGAAAATCGCCAAAATAACGGACACCCTAATATACATATATGTATACATATATATATATTGTGACGTGACATTTTGTCAGTCACCCAGAAAAACAGCATAACGCGAGATCCTGGGTCCTTCAGGGTCAACGGGCGAGCGCATATGCGAATGTGCGACATTATTATTTAATTTTATTTCTTTTTGCAAGCATTGTGTTATTTAATTGATATTCTCTTTGTGCGATTGTTATATTATTTTCTTTTTTTTCTTCTCTGTGTCGCTATTTAGTTAAGTTTTAGCTAACGTTAAGACGATCCTGAGCTCGGATTTCATTATTAAGTACGATCAAAGCCGGTGGCTATTTTGTCTCTCTGTGTTTGACCGCCTCACCTATCACGAGAAGAAAGAAGACGTCGCCTGCTGCGAGGGAGACATTGCTGTCAGAGGAATTTGACTGGAATCACGGAAAGAGCGGTACACGCAGGTCGTATTATTTCATATTTGTTACTGTAATGTCGCCATTCTTCTGTGAATTATCGCACGATTATTGCAGACGCCTCGGAGAGAGACGTCAGCTGGGAACGGATTAACAGGCAGGACCTCCGCCGAAGCGCCGTATCCCGTAAAGATTACTGGAAGATCCTCGAGCGACCAAAAGGCATTTTTCCGCCTTATTTGGAAAAGCGCGCCATAGCGCACAAGAATCCGCGACACGCAAGGACCCGCGGGATTCGTCGCGGGGTCACGCGGTCGCGGCGAGCCAATTAGAATAGGCAGAGGCCGATAAGAGAGGGCCTGACGACCTGCGTGAATCCGCGAGAACTTCCGATCGGCACTTGTGCAGTGACTGGCCCTGACGAAGGACGCAGGATCTCGCCGAGCCTAATTACGCTAAGTTATCGAGAACATTCCTTGTGGACAAGCATCGCTGTCGGCTCTCGCGAATCTCGTAGGCTGCTGTGGAGGAAAATCTTGGTGAGGCGAGCGTTATTAATTGTATTGTAAAGCCACCGATCGCGTAATATTTTGTGAGCGTATCGAGCGAATCGCGTGTGTGAGTTTCGCGGGTTTGAGTCAGCCGACCGGCAAAACTAACGCCATTGCTAGTATCGATGCACGCAGGCCGTTCGCTCGAATTAAGGAATTTACATGCTCGGAGTTATCGTTATTGCTCGCCCGTGTCACTGCCTAGTCACATCGTTCGTATTACTTGTTGAGATTCCGGTTTGTTTAAAGAATTAGAGTCGAGCCGCGTGTCACCGCTCGGCATTAGGCTGTCGGTGTGCGGGAAGTTCCGAGAGTCGGACATTGCTGAGTATCGTCGACGACGACCTTGATATCGTTCTTCTGTAATAAAGTAAACTTGTCGTCGACGCGCGACCGCGGAATTCTGTAGATTATGTCAACTCATGTATCGACGCGTATTGAATAAATAGGAAACTCTTTGTCATTGTTAATATTAATTGTTGTCTGATTATTTCTGTCTGCCTCTACCTCGTTCTCCGACATTGTTCCCCGCTCATCGCGAACCACCCCCTCTGCCAATTTCGTTGGCTGAGCTAGCTGAGCCTGTCCGTCGCGAATTCCGTTGCTCTGTAATTTCTTTGTCCGAGCGTACCATCTTAATATTTAGTGCGAAGAGTGGCACGCTCTCTCGTGCCTGGCGCCCAACGAAAATTAGTACGGCTCGAATATCGTAGCATATAAAATTTAAGGAAGAACCGCACTTTTACTAATTACATTATTGTGTCCATCTTTTGAGCTATCGCGTAAAAAGGGCAGCGGATGAAGTGACGAAGTTGTGTCGTTCCTCAAAAGTACGGTCACAATATATATGTATATACGTAAATAATACCTCTGTAAATTTAATCAGCAGAAGTAAAACATTTTATAAACTCAAAATTAATATTAAAAAAACAAAAAATGTAATGCCGTTTGCATATTCTTGAATATCAAATAAGTCTTACTTCGAATTATTGAATATTGTCAATTATTTTCAAATATGGCTGGATGCACAACAATGTAAATTCATTTTTTTCTAGTTACTAATGATTTTTTAGTTTATCAAACAAATGTACATATACTTTGTGTCTAATTTACTTAAAAAACAGTGTTGATGTTAAGTGCAAGTAATTCAATAAAAAAGAGACAATAACAGTGATTAGCTATAAGTTATAGATACTACAATATAAGGTACTCTAAACAAACCGCTATGATGCTCTGCTGATCAAACGATACAGCACTAGATTACTAATTTTTGGAGCTTTCCAATTATAATTGTTTGTATAAAAATATATTACTGCATATATTGTTATATTTTCCTGATTAGATAAAATTATATAATGAAATTTCGTATTATCTAATACTCTATGATGATAGTCAAATAATAAATATATTTTTATATTAGATAACATTTAAAATCTGAAATAATGAAAATCTGATTGACAGAATAAATGCAAATTAAATATATTAAATAAGAACTCTGACATATTATTTATTATAATTAGAAAAAATTATACATTTATAAATTTTTCTATTCGCAAGAAACTAAAAAGATGTAACATTTTCAAATTTTTACTCTAATAATTTTCAATACCTATTGAGCATGCTGTGTAGACAATTTGGCTCGATCAATATTCTTTGGCTTCTCGCTTTGCTATTGATAATTAAACTTGCTGTGGCTTCATAACGACACTAATTTATATCCTTTATTAATCAGAACAAAAGCTCGAAATTTTGAATTAATTTGACGTGATACTGATTATAAAGTTTGTAATTCAATAGTTTGTAAACGCTTATGTTATTTCAGTTTAATACAATGATTTAAGGGTCGACAGGAGTGACGGGCCAAGTCCGAATTGAATTTGGAGACCTCACGTGGTAGGACCTTGAAGCTTTGGATTCATTTTTATAATGCCTTTTTTACAAGAAAATAGGTCTGTACGAGCCTTCAGGAGCTTTTTTCTGATTACGAATATCACAATTAGAACATGATTCATGTTATATTTTAGCCACAATTTCAGCATAAAGGTATGTATTTATAAGTGCAGAGCTAAATCAGTTATGCTCATTTTTCTCCTCGAAGAAATAATATTTCCTTATAAAACCTGTTGGGATTTCTTTGTTATATTGCTAGGAAGGCTCGTACAGAAACAGATTTCGCAAATTGATTCTTGAAAATTTTTATTAATAAAATCATGTATATCTCAACTGCACCATAGTACACATCGAGTGAGATATCAAAGAGAACAAATTATTTTTTTCTCTATTTACAAAAAAATAGCTCTGTACGAGCCTTCAGGAGCCTTTCCTAATTACGAATATCACAATTAAAACGCGATCCATCCAGTACTTTAGCCGTAATTTGGGAATAAAAAATTCATCTTCAACTAGAGTCTCTGCACGGGTCTCTCCTGTCGACCCTTAATATTATTTTTAAATATTATTTAATATTATTTAATATAACATTTCTCTTCAGTATATATTATAAAATAAACTAAAAGATTATGTCAATTTTATAAATAAGTAATTGGAAAGAGAGAGCCCACGTTCTATAAAAAATTTATATTATTAGTTCAACAGAAATTTTATCTCTTGAAACATATTTCATGCTGAAACCTATTTGCCATAGACTTTGAATAAACCCCTTTAAATACTAAATATTAAATATAATCAGAAGATAATTATTATGGAGAGGGATTCGAAAACGAAAAAATGACACATGTAAGAAAAATATGTAAAAGTGATAAATTGTTTCAAAAATAAGTTAAAAGAATGATTGTTAAGTATTGGATATATAGGATGTGTTGTGTGTGTGTGTGTGCTAAAGATTTAAATCTATTTAAAATTAAACCTATAAAATCTAGAGAAATAAATTGTTAATGAATTATACTAGATCATTATGAGTTACATACACATGATTACATAAATTACTTAATGTTAAATACATAATGTTTTTTAAAATTATATTATTTAAATTACATATTAAATACATAATGAGATTATCTTTAAAAATATTTTAGCGTTATTGTACATAATACGACTAAATAATTCTCATGCCATCTCTCACAGATTAAGTTATGCTTTAATAATGTTGTGTACAGAGAGGAGTACATACCACAAGCTCATATCATTGACAATATGAAAAATGTATTAGACAATATATTGTTTGCAACATACCCAGGTCCAAGAGAAAGATAGTGCCTAAATGTATCATTGGCAGTAAGTTTAATTGCTTTCTCAGGTGTGATCAACAGTATATTTACAGCGGATCCCTTATACATTCCGAAGTAACCCTCTGTTTTATAAGTCTTTTTGAAGCAGTCAAACCTAAAAAAATTTTATATATTCAATTATAATAATTTCTATATTATAATTGAAATGATAAAAGCAAGAAAACATAAATGAAATAAAGATTTATTATAGAGTTTTATAAAATAATATAATAATATCTTTAAATTTTCATATAATTTGTAATTATCAATAGGTTAAAAATAATACATAATTTATTTATACATATTATATATGGGGCATTCCACGCCAAATCGGACAGTTTCAAAATTTTTTTTTTTGATTTTCCTAATTTTGTGATATTTTTTAGTACCCATCAAAAAACCCTTTCGGATAAATTTTGAGATTTTTAGAATCACGGGTCCAAAAGATATCGAATTTTCAAAAAAATCGGTCTTTTTTTGGTCATAACTTCTTCAAAAATGGTCCAAATGAAAAGTTTTTTTTTTTGAAATTTTTGTTTTTTATGCACTTTTCAAAAAAAAATACGAAAATATTTTCAAAAATTTTTTTGTGTAATTTTTGTGAGTTTTTAACTGTAAATCTTGTTTTTCAAAGTGAGTGCATATTTTGATTTTTTCGAAATTTTTGTATAACAAACTACTATCATTTTAACAACTTTTAAGCCCGGTTCGATCGTGGGCCTCCTATAATTACTATTCTTTTTCGATTTCTGAAAATTTGATAAATTTTGTTTTCTCTATTAATCATCATGAATACCAATTTTATTACTGTATATTATTTTTTTAGTTTATTTCAATAAATTTTGACACATTTTTATTATTAAAAGGCGTTAAAAATAATTAATTTATCATTAAGATTATTTATAAACAATAGTAACAAAAGAATTTATTTATTTTCGTAATTTTTTAACAAATGTGTTGAAATTATAATTTCAATATCATTTTCGTTATAAAACATTACTTATTCATCTAATGATAGTATAAATTTTTAATTTCAAAAATAATTGAGGAACTCACAGTATGATTTTTCTCACGGTGGCGCTGCTACTCATTTCTATAGAGCACTATAAACGTGAGTATTCGCATACCACTATTTTGATTCCTTTCCCGGTTTCCCCACTCGTTGCTCTGTCCCCACTGCGGCGGAATGGGGACAGAGCAAGGAATAGGAAAACCGGGAAAGGAATCAAAATAGTGGTATGCGAATACTCACGTTTATAGTGCTCTATAGAAATGAGTAGCAGCGCCACCGTGAGAAAAATCATACTGTGAGTTCCTCAATTATTTTTGAAATTAAAAATTTATACTATCATTAGATGAATAAGTAATGTTTTATAACGAAAATGATATTGAAATTATAATTTCAACACATTTGTTAAAAAAATACGAAAATAAATAAATTCTTTTGTTACTATTGTTTATAAATAATCTTAATGATAAATTAATTATTTTTAACGCCTTTTAATAATAAAAATGTGTCAAAATTTATTGAAATAAACTAAAAAAATAATATACAGTAATAAAATTGGTATTCATGATGGTTAATAGAGAAAACAAAATTTATCAAATTTTCAAAAATCGAAAAAGAATAGTAATTATAGGAGGCCCACGATCCGACCGGTCTTAAAAGTTGTTAAAATGATAGTAGTTTGTTATACAAAAATTTCGAAAAAATCAAAATATGCACTCACTTTGAAAAACAAGATTTACAGTTAAAAATTCACAAAAATTACACCAAAAAATTTTTGAAAATTTTTTCGTATTTTTTTTTGAAAAGTGCATAAAAAAACAAAAATTTCAAAAAAAAAAACTTTTCATTTGGTCCATTTTTGAAGAAGTTATGACCAAAAAAAGACCGATTTTTTTGAAAATTCGATATCTTTTGGTCCCGTGATTCTAAAAATCTCAAAATTTATCCGAAAGGGTTTTTTGATGGGTACTAAAAAATATCACAAAATTAGGAAAATAAAAAAAAAATTTTTTGAAACTGTCCGATTTGGCGTGGAATGCCCCATATGTATATAATATTCCAAAGCTTTTTGAATAATTAGGATATTTTATTTTTTACAATATCAATTTTTATTGGACCGCTAAATTTCAAATCAATGAGACAATGCTGCAGCGGTCTAAACTGGATTACGGATGCTTCTAAATAATTACATGTGAATTTATATAGGGGAGACCGGGACATCATGGGTCACGAGGTACCATAGGTCACTGACTGTTTAGAGAAATCCAAAATGTATATGTTTAGGTTGGTGCAATTGGTATCATATGATTGTTATTTAGTTGCCTATACTATGCATCTAGATAGCAGTGATATAAAAGAAGACCTAAAAGTACATATGTGTCTACCCCGGGCCTATGGGGTACCATAGATCATTTCTGAAAATTCCTTTTCGATTTTTATTTAAAAAACAAATCAATATTTATGAAAAATGTTTAATAATTCTTAAAATATATGTTATCTCTTAATTATATAAAAAAAAGTTGAGACCAAAAATCTTACATGTGATGTATTTTTTACTGTTTGAATTTTTATGACCCATGGTGTCCCCGGTCTCCCCTACTACGTATATATAATAATTCTTGACATGTCAAGGTCACGATCATCGGAAGGTAATCCCCTTTTCTCAATATTTATCAAAATTTTTTTTTTTAATTATATATGCACTTTCTTTTTGTATAAAATGTTTAATAGTTATTAATTTTTTAAATAAAATACTTGCATTGACTTATACATGCGTTCGCCACTCGAACTAACAACTTGATTTTGTAATCTTGTTTTAACTAAATCAAGCGGAAAAACCACGGACACTCCAATAATTCCGGCAATGCCTCCGTTTATAATTTTTGGTATAAGTCTGAAAGGTAAATGCAAACTTACAGTACATAAATAATTTTTTACGTATATGATTTTTTTTATATTAAAATATGTCTGTGAGAACAAAAGAATATATCCATTATCTTACACTTTTTAATAACTTTATTTATTATGTTATATATAAAACTGCAATACTTCTAAATAAGCATATTCTAATTTAAGATTCATATTGTTTTACAAGATGATATCATTTCGCAAGATTTTATACAAAAACGACATACTTGAACTGCTCTGTAGGTTTCAAAGCTGAACTGTCCTGTGCCATGGTTAATTTCAATTAGGGTTCCGCACCTGTTGAAATTGATGGAATTAATAGAAAACAATATCTGATAGTGATTAATGTTAAATTATTCATAAAAAGAAAGAAAAAGTTGTAATTTTTTTGTTTTATAATTGATACTTTATTACCAATTATGGTAAAAAACTTTTTACAATTAATAGTTGTATTTCCGCATTTTGTGGGTAATAAAGTATAAATTTTAAGTTGTATAATAATTAATTTATTTTATGATGATAATATTGCAAAATAGTTTTTAACATATTTTTAATATATTTTTAGTAAATATATCATTCAAAACATAGGTTAGGTATGTATGTAAGATTTTTTCTCGGAATACTTTTTGCAAAAAAATTGATATATCTCTCAAATCGGCAAGTTTCGGCAGCTGAATCATGTGTCTTTTTAAAATAGAAAGTCCCTTTAATAAAATGACACAAGTTAAACTTTAAGATTTTATAAGCTTTTTTGTAAAAGTTAATTTAAATTTTAATAATCAGGATTTTTTTTGGAAAATCATAAAATGAGTTGGCAAATTATAAATTATACAATTTTTTTATTCATATATGGATTTTTTTTAAGTTAAAGGATAGTACATTTGCTGTAAAAAAATAGGTATGATAATATATAAAGGGGAAAGAAATATATTACCTTGAAAATATAGAACTATAAATTGATGAAAATCCTAAATTGTCTAACTCGTAAGGTTTATGCTTATTTTATGCATAAAATATAAAAATATTTTGGAAAATGAAGGTTATATACAAATTCTATGACATTTCTAGTAATGAAATATAATATTATAAACTCGATTAAAAAAAATTTTTTTTGAGCTTAAGTCCGCATTTTCGTATAGTTCGATCCACTGCGTGACGCCACGCACGATGCAGCGCCACACCAAGAAAGAACATGTAGCGCGAGATACGATTAATCTAAGATCTTAACATTCTTCATATAATTTTTCAGAATTTTTCTATATAAAATTCAGAAATTTTTTGAATTTCTATAATTTTAATACCTGTTAGAAAAATTTTTAAATTTTGTTATATATTTAAATTGGAACTCTTCAGAAATGCTGAAAAAATCTACATCTTTCTTTATAAATTCTAAAATATACAGTTCTAAGACATTTTCATTCTATAATTTCAAAGAGGACATTTTTATAAAATCTCAAGAAGTTTACAATATTTTCTAAAAATCTTCATAAAGGCTCTAGCAGGTTAATCGGCTAGAGGTCAATCGGCCCCCAAACGGATTATGACCAGTATGTCACCAAAAAGTTCGTTGACCCGAAAAAAAAATTTGGAGAAATTTTTAATTCCGTACACCACCCCTTTTCGGAGATATTGCCTTATGAAGTATTTTCATATTTTATTTTTGTCACGAGACCTATCAGATACAGTTTTATTTAAAAAATTTGGGCATACAAAACGTATCAAAAGGTATTTGAAAATATTTTTTGCGAGATGTTCCAACCTAACAATAATTTTTAAAAAATTCCTGAAAATTTATAAGTGACCCCCTTTTGTTAGTTTATGATTGGCAACCTCGCAAAAATTCAAAAACATGTATTTTTAAACTTATTTTCACCCTGAATTTTTTCAGAATTTTTTGAACCCGGCATCATGCCTAAAAAAATTAAAACTCGCCTAAAAAGGCAAAAAATCGCCATAAAATATATATCAAGTAGCCATAAAGCCCTAAAAGGCTCATAAGATAGCGTGCAGAATTCGCCATTAGTTTCGTTTAGTTTAGATATTTAGCGAAAATTATCAAGCCTGCTGAATTATTATCCAAATTATTCGATGCCCAGAAAATTGCACCGGTCATCAATGAGGATAGCGACGACGATTAATCTGGAGACACGGTAGTGTCTCGGCGCTAAGCCAAGCGCGCGACACTGCCGTGCCTCCTTTACGCGACACGGAGAATTTTCGGGGTTGAGATGAACAGATATAGAGAAACTATGTGTCCAGGTATTCACTATCGAGGAATTAAGTGTCTAGATGTTGAATATATATTCGTCGTCGAGGAAGTGAGTGTCTAGGTGTTCGCCTTTGAGGAAATTGATGTCTAGGTGTTCACCATCGAGGAAGTGGGTGTCTAGGTGTTCGCCGTCGAGGAAATGGGTTTGTTTATAAGAAACGTCGTCGTCGTCGTCGTCGTCAGCTACGGAGTAAGGAAATGCATTCTGGAATTTTTGGCGCAAGAGATAAATATGGTCGCGACAATATCGATCGCTGCGATCTGTACGATCGTTAAAGTCGGATTATTAAGTGTCTCGGCAATAACAAATGATTGAGGTTAGGAACTCTGTTACATTGATGGCATAGACGAATACGGAAGTGAGGTTAGAATAAATATTGATCTCTGCGATCTGTACGATCGTTAAGGTCGGATTAAGTGTCTCGGCAATAACAAAGGATTGAAGTTATGGAATCTGTCACATCGATGGCATACAATAGACGAACACGTAAGTGCGGTTAGATATTTTCTGCTTTATTACACAAATTCTCTGCTGCAATTCCACTGTAAGAATATCTACAAATTATTTTCTATATAATTATTTTCTTTTTACAACAGCATTTGGTTAGGTTACTTATTTACCGAGACACTACCCTGTCTCCAGATCTGTCATTTATTTGTTTGGTAGATACCTTACTTTGTATTCTCTATTCGTTATATAATTCTAAAAAAATTGATTATTTGTACTTTGTTTATAGGAAAAGTCTGAAAAGAAAAAAGGTATGGATTTAAATGATTATTGCCTTTTCTTTTCAGGACTTTCCCTTTAATAAACCTGAAGATAAAATAGAGCACAAAGAATCAATTCTCTTATAATAATAAAGATAAAACTTATTTGATACAGTTACTCAAAACATGAAATT